GACATAATAAAAATTGGATGAATTAAAATTGTCTTGACATAATAAAAATTGGATGAATTAAAATTATGTCTGACATAAAAATAATTCCGCATTTTTATTATGTGTATACACATAATTTTAATTCACACAATTTTTATTATGTGCACATAATTTGTTTTTGAATGAACGTAAAACGTATTTGTTATAATATCCATTATTGAAAATCGACATGCGCGACAAAAACTCTTTTATATCATCATTAATTATGTTATTATATATTTCTATCCATATATTTTCAGTATTATTGTTGCATTAGAAAAATTATTGGCATTTAGGATACGAATCTTTTTCCGTTAGTTTGTAAGTTTCATGATTAAAATATCATGTCGTATTATTATTAACAGATAGGGGAGACCGGGGCTATTCGTGACACATTTTTGTTTCGAATTTTTTTCTTGCTTCGTATAAATGTTTAAAACATTTTTATTAGTGCGATGTAATCGTCCATCTCTCTAGTTTAAAAGAAAACATATATATAGATTTTTCGCTCACGAGTCTCGAAATATATCAAGAAATGTATCGCTGTGTCATGTGTCACGAATTGCCCCGAAGCCTGGGTAATTCGTGACAAACCACGGGGTAATGCGTAACACTTTCTCTGAATGAACAAACAATATAGATTTTTTTGTTTTTGCAATTTTTATCTACTTTATACTTTGAAAAAGCCTTTATTTGTCAGAATTTACATATTATATGTATAAAAAATTATGAGGAAAAATTTAACGCCTGTTCCATTAATTGCCTTCATTGCCCTGGCGGAAATATTTCTACAAAATTTAAAAAAAAATAAAAGTGTACTACAAAAAACTATAAAATATAATTACCAGAATCTATTAAATTCTACATGAATTTAAGAAGTACTACAAAATCCTACATGAAAATGCTAGAATTGGAACACTTTTGTAAATTTTTGTATTTTTTTAGTGCATCTTTATCTATAAATTTTTCGGTAAAACTACGCCAAATTATAACTAATACTGATATTCTACACATTTCTATATCTATTTGAGTACAGTAGACTACAAGGAAATACTAAAATTAAAACACTCTAATGAGGAAATTCACCCGACATAAAAAAAATTATATTTATTTTGAAATTTTATTACTACTTTTTAACTAAATTTGTTTTTTAAGATGCAACCTATGATTATAAATATTTTCTCGTACTTGAAAAACACACTTACCTTGATGGGACTCGAACTCGAGACCTCGGGACCTCTGGATCGTGAACCAACCGTCTTACGTGGACTACTTCTTAATTTGATGTAAGTGTTATATATAGTTTATACATGTGTCATAACCAGCGCAAATATATAATTTTGCAAAAATTCTTAAGAAACAAATTCAGTTTAAAAAGAGTAATAAAATTTTGAATTGGATATACGAATACCTAAGAAATGGAAATATAATCTTGAACAATATTGTATGGCTAAATCTCTTTAAATATAACTTTATATAGTCATTTATGGTTTTATATACTAGTATATTATCATGTGTGATCATGTAAAGTTATATTTATAAGGTTAAAGATAATCATATATGAATATATACTCTATAATATATTTATCCATATAAATTTGTATAACTGTTATAAATATTCTTCTAATATGTATATTATTTTACTTGACAATATCAAATTAATATAAAATATATTATTTTTAGTTTCAGTTTACACAATTGCGCTTTATAAGGCTCCTGGTCCCTGAGCCGAGAACTCTGCGTTGACGGTGACGACGTACCGTCGCGGCAGAAATCAGAACTCTCTCCAATGGAGAATTCTGTCCTTTGTGACATGTTGACGACCTATTTTGTTGTGCATGCTATTTCTTTATTATTCGCTCTGTGCTTGTGCTCTAACATTTCCCAGATAGCCAAACCTGAGCAGCAGATTCCAAGCAGAGTCTGCATTAAATTTTTGGTATCAGAAAGGCAACAAATTGCACGCGAAAACTGCTCTGTCAAATGATGTTGTCAAACTGTAGCCAGAAATGCGACAGCCTGCTGACAGGCAATGTGAGCAGATTGGCAGCAGAAACCGCGCAGAGCCTGCACACATACTTGGCAGCAGATTGACAAAAAAGATCGAGCAGAGGCTGCGCGTATGACTTGAGAACAGAGTGGCAGCAAAAACCGAACAGATCCTTTCCGTGATAGTTTGCAACGACGCTACTAAGCGGCGCATAATGATAAAACTAACTCGTAAGTAAATTTCAGTTGAGGGCTAATATAAGCAGGCCTCCTGCGAAGCAAAATCATAACATCCACGAGACATATCTTTGTCAGCAATACAACGCAAGGCTCAACCAAAATTGCTGCAATGATATAAATATGCAAAATAATATTTTCTAAAGTAAGATGTAAAGTATATTGTGTGTAATGTATATTTTTTAAATATTAAAAAAATCTTTCAAACGAAACAATTATTGCTGATTTGGTTAAACATATATATTTTATTTTTCGAAGCAATATTTCTGATAGAAAGATTTTACAAATATTATTGTATATATTTATTTGCAATCTTTTAAAAATATTTTCGAAAATATTTTTCTGACATAATCTGGCGGACATAGAAACATTTAAAAAATATTTTTGTAAATTATTTTAATCTTTTTAAAAAATATTTTGTGCTGTATGGGTATGGATAAAGTCTGCTCGGTTTTTGCTGCCAATCTGTTCTCAGGTCGAGCGCGCAGGCTCTGCTCGGTTTTTGCTGCCAATCTGCTGCCAGGTTTTGTATGCAGGCTCTGCGCGGTTTCTGTTGGCAATCTGCTTACATTGCCTGTCAGCAGGCTCTGTCGACAGAATACGAGCTTAATGCGGACACAGATGGCTATGGTTTTGGTGTGGGATTTTGATCAAATTTGCTGCCAATCTGCGCGCATTCTGCTAACATTTTGCTATCTGGCCAAACTCAAATCTATTTCTGACAAACTGAGATTTTGCATTGCACTTTTAATCCATGCAGTATCATGCAGAAATAATTTTTCGCGATAATCTCAGTTTGCAGACCATGAGCCAATCATTCTTTCGTGAAACTTATTATTTTTAATTTGAATTGGCAAGTCTTTAAAATTTTGTTTTCTCGTTTTGATTTAATGTGCTTTTTTCGAACACCTTATTCGAAATTTAGATCTTTGGCTTAAATTATCGAAAACATCCTGATTGACTTTCCGATTTTTTACAAATTCGAACCCATTCGTTTTTCGTCACTTGAATATTTTTATACGAGTTTTGAAGCTTCTTAGAATAGGTACTCAATTTTTTTTAAAATTATTTTAAATTCTTTAATTGACTGTAAAAGTCATTCAGAACTGTGATATGTAGCACTATATAGTTTGGAATTTTTATAATTCTTTACATACAAAACGCAATTCTTTCAGATGCTTCTCTTTTTCTTGCTTGTGAAAAGCTATTTCCGATTGAGCTAATTTTTCAGTTTGTAAATATTTGGCAAATGGGGGTACTTTAGCGACAGAATTTTTTTTGTACGTGTTCAATTTCTTCTACTGAGCAGCATTTGTCCGAAGCATTTATTTTTTGTGAAACTGAACTGTTTGCGGTGCACCCTTATTTTTTGTATTTTGCGAATTGGAAGTATATAATCACTGTATAAAAAGGTGCCAATTCATGGGACGCTGAAAAACAGCGTTGAGCGACGTCACGTGACATCACTATGATGCCAGCGTCAAGAAACAGAAGTTGGATTTTTCCAACTTCAAGCGTCAAAGCCAAAGCAGCGCGAAGACGCCGAAATTTTGACGCTGTTTTTCTTTTCATGAATTTCAATTGACGCCGGCGTCAATTGTGGTCATGCGACCTTCTTGCCGCTGAAAATAAGCGTCGAGCGTCAGCATGAAAAGGCACCTTTACATCGTATTACCACCGCTGCCGGAAAAGAAGGTTCTCTGCTTGGAAAAAGAAAGTGCCGCTAGGGAATTTTTAAGTCGATTCTTATGAATCAAGCTTGAATTCGATGTCTACGTGTCCCAGGTTGCCGATGACGAGGTCCACATAGTGCGCTTTATATTTTTCGGTGTCCAGGTGTAGTACGTACAGTACGGTACATTCTTCATTGACATAAATACACACAACTGCGATATGTTTGCACTTTTGTTATTTAGATAGATCAGCCCACGGTCGTGAATACAGGTCCGGAAACTCGTCCGTTTTTTTGGTGGTGGGGGTGACTCGCTTAATGACGATATTTTCATAGGTTTGCCATGTGACCGCGCGCGTCGCTGCGTTGCAAGGATTTTTTATCACGCATACGCGTTGTCCACTAATCCGTTTCACCGTAAAGGCTCCCGCACAATAAAAAATATAAGAAACAAGGAACAGATATTAGCGATTAAAAATAAGAAATCAGGAATAATATTAATTGCTAATATCTGTCCCTTGTTCCTTATATTTTTCATTGCGGAGCAGGCCTTAACCAAAATACAATATTTTTATAATAAATGTAAGATGGAAAATATACTATATGCAAAAAGCAGCGAGTTTTGTAAATAAGTTGGCTCAATCAACGTTTTAAATGAGTTCAAATGTGGATAAAATAATAATAAAATTATAATTAATTTTTATTTACAAATTGGTAATTAGTAAACAAATTTTTTATTATTAAAATAATTAATAGTTTGTCGAAATAAATTACTAGAAATTATTAAAAAATTAATAATTAGTGAAAAATAATTACTGATTTTCTCAATAATGAATTTAGTCTCAGGTAAATTATTAATTATTAAAAAATTATTTAATTTAAAAATTATCTGGTTCAACATAAATAACTTAATTACTGAAAAATGGAAATTTTTTTGCCAATCCCTGGATATATCATTAAAGTTTCTTTTAATGTGACAGAATATTTTTTTTATAACTGAGCTTACCTCGGCTAGGACATTTGCTTGTACATCGCGCATTACGAAATTCCTTATTATGCATTTTTTATCAAAATGCTATTCACATACAAATTGATTGTGTTTCAGGTCCTTTATGCCAGGGATTGCGGATATCCATTTTTTACGCAATTTGTCACGTTTTGGCACTTTAAAAACTGAACAATTTACTTTCAGACTTTTGCACCCAGTCTTGCAATTCGGCACGACACAATATTTCGTTAATTTCATTGTTGTTAATTTAATCACTTTCTAGGACTTCGTACGTTCGTTACATTCAATATGTCAATATGTAATATGTTATATATGACATATGTCATATGTCATATGTCACATGTTATATGTTATATGTCAATATATTCAATATGTATTTGCGTTATTTAAAAAATCTCTAACCTCCAGCGCTCCAGGTGGTGATAGTGTCAACTACATAAAATGACTTCACTAAGCGAGTCACCCCCCACTACTAGAGTTTCCAGACCTGTATTCACGACCGTGGATCAGCCTTACAAGCGCAATAACAGTTTGAAATAAAACAATCGTTTCAGAACTAAAAACGTATTTATAAGAAATTCTTTTATAACTGCCGAAAATATAATTATTTTTTTACAATTTCGAGAAAATATATTATTTTTTATAAAACAGAAAATATATAATTGTTGCAGTAGTCCAAAATAGTTACATTTAAAAATTATATTATTTATGAACAGTGTAGTTTTATTTAACTAATTATTTCTAATATTTCTTAAACAATTAACTACAATGTCTTTCAATTTACAAATTTGATAATACTTCAATTGATTTTATATTGGGGATTATTCACTTTAGTTTCGGATAAAACTTTTAATTAATATATAATTCGCGCAGCACCGTTATTGACCGCAATTTCTTTAACTTCACGTGATTACCTCGAAATAATTTTGTTCCTAATTTTTTATAAGGAATAAACATCGAAAATGTTAAATCCTTTTTTATAAATAATGATTTTTATAAATAAGTCTCAGCAAGGCGCGCTTTAATTTTAGGTACATACTTAACACGTTTATTTTTCGTTAGTTCAATTAATGTTGCATTTCTTATTGGCTACATAATATTTTAGAAAGTTTTTTTGTAACAGTCGATCGTATTTTCCGTATGAAGTATACGAATTTTATACATTAGCGAGATTGATTTATCGATCAATAATCTCGTTTCTCATACAAATACAATATCTTTAGAGATTTTGGACGAAAGAAATCAGTATTAACATTTTGAAATAAATTACAAGAGTGGTTGTTTTGTCGAATTTTTTATTTGAACTAAACATATTTCACTTTCCCTTCACTTGTATTTGCATTTCTTCGCGCCAAATAGCTGCTCACCTTTCTTGTGCCTTCGTGGACCGATAGACGGCGTGTCGATCGACCACAGATTGGCGCGGCGCGCGCGCGCGACGAACGCCGCCGGCCGCCATGATGGGGAAACGAAAATGGCGTCGCGTGTACGGTGCCGATGATCCCTCGTTTCGCCGCGTTCGTGTACGGGTAGTTGCGGTGTACGGCGTGCGACGAAGTGTCTCAACGACGACGACGACGACGACGACGGACGCTGGCCTGATCGGCGTGTGAGTGGGTGCGCGCGACACGAGGCTCGCCCGAAGGATTACCGAGGTTCGCTCGGCGGTCGCGCCGCGCGTACGGACGTTACGGCGAGCGGCGAGCGGCGGCGGCGGTGGCGGCGGCAACGACGACGACGACGACGGCGACGACGACTGTCGCAGTGACGGTGATTAAATCGCGCGGACGGTATCGGTATCGGCGGACTCGCGGCGATTCCCGCGTTCTTTCTCGCCCTCCGCGAGACGCGACCTCGTCCCGGTTGGCATGACGAAGGAAACGATATCCCCGTCCCCGTGGCGAGGCGATGTGTGTTGACGTGCGCGAGTGAGACCACCTCTCCCCGCGTATCGTCCTTGTCCTTGTTTTCGCGAACGAGGGACCCGCGCGGGTGGATCGTCTTCTGGAGTGGCGGCGACGAGAACGACGTGTGTGCGCGCGGCCACGACGGCGACGGCGACGTGCGACGTGTAGCACCTCGCCCCGACCATGGCGGTGAATCCGCGTGATATGGACGGCTTTATGCCGCTTCTGTCAACGACGGATATCAAGAAGAAGCTCAACGTCGGCAGCGCGCTGCTCAATTACCTCGGCGACTCGAGCAAGAGCATCGAGTGCCAGGACATCGGCATGTTCATCGACAACGTTATACCGTGGCTTGGCAACGGTAATCCCAAGGTAAGCGTTTTCCGTCGGCGACGACGACGACGACGATGTCTGAGTCCGCGATCGAGTTACTTCGAGCGCACCTAACCTTTACTCGCGGTATTTTTCCGGCTACTTTCCGACGTGACTTTCACGTTATTTATATGTAGATACTTATCTTGCGCCTATTCTCCACTTTATTAAACGCTAAAATTAAAACGGAGATGGAGAAACTCGATTTTTTCTCTCTCTGGGACGCGCAAGGTGACGCGCGAAACGCCTTCCTAGAACGTCGATAAACGTTTATTGACAAAAAGATAAAGATGTGGATTACATTTGATTAAAAAATTTATTTATCGTCGTTAGTGTTATTTACTTCACTTTGAAGATTACGTCAAGAATGGCTGCGTTCGTTGTTTTTTTTTTGGAAGGTTGTTGCTAGATTTATTGACATCTGTACTAAAGCCGAGCTACTTTTCGGGCGCCGCGGCCGTTTTGTGTTAAAAGATGAATTATAATTGAAAGGATGAAGCAATGCGAACTAATCGAATTAACATGGCCTTAACCTTCTGTAACTGGAGTTTTTTTTGCTTGTGGAAAAAAAGGTTGCACCAACCGGTAAGTGGGAAACCATTGATTAAATCATTGAAACTTAAAAAATGAACATATATATATATAGGTACGTTCCATAATGCAACTTCTAAGTCATATGGTCTTACAGAGGGTTGACGCTCAATCGGAATCGATCACGTTGGATTCGCGGCCTCCTCCTAGTCGAGCACATGACGCGCGCGGTCCATAAATGGAGAAAGGAGACGATTGATCAGCCGCCGCCTTCGGCGCGCTCCGTAAAACGCCGCTTTTTCGCGCTCGCACGTGAGAACGCGACCGCCCCTGTTCTCACCTCCGCGCGTCGCGTCGCAAAACGGGAACGACCGATTTAGCGGTCCGTGGGGCGCCGGAATGACGCGAAGGAGCAAGTACAAGTAATCCCGGTATCCTCAATGCCGATGAAAGTGCTATTTGTCATAATTTACTGCCGTTTACTGGGTAGTGAACGACTGGCCCGACTGGTTCAACTTTTCTTCCGTTTATTCCTTCCGACGGGTCCAAGTGACCTCCCGAGGGCCAAAGTAATACGTCTTTGCGGTTTATGACTCTCGGAACCTGTGTTTACGGTATACCCTTTTCTACGGACTCTCGCAAGCGAAAGCGCAAGTTGTTCCGCGCGAGCCGCAATGTTGGCCGAGGTATTTATTTAACTCGAAGTGCTTGCGTATTAAGCAAGTTGGCATAATGGTGTTTAAAGGGATTTAAAGGCACATTGTGATCGCAAAGTGATCTGATACACGAGTAAGACTAAACGCTAATAAACGTTGTAAATTGGAACGCCGTGCGTGATATAAACAATCCTTCGAGAACAGCGAGGCAGCGTATCGATGTATTTGTATTTACTGGGAGAATACATCTCGCGTCTTCCATCGCGATACCTTAAAATCTGAGCAGGGAAACTCGACACGTTGTGTAAATGAACTTTAATTTAGCGTAGAAAATAGTTAATTAACACATTTAACATGTCGGTCCTTTTTGCATATTGCGCAATAAGCTCAAGCAATGCGTAGTCTTGTAAAAATGCTGTTGTTAAGGGCACACAAAGTGGGATGTTTATACATCAACATAGCATTCCGTTTAATCTTTATTTTCTGCGTATGGATATGTCGATATTTCGGCCGCATTTATCCGGCGGACAATGCGCTATTGAACACAAGAAGCGGAGAATAAAGTGCAACGAATACGCAATGAGATAATATCTGTACAAGGATTGAAGAGAAAGTGAAATAGACATTGGCGCACTTAATTAATTACATAAAGAGACACTGGCACATTTAATTAAGTAAGATAAGAGATATTAAACGTGAAAATGTCGTTTCGTAAGTTGGATGCGTTACTGCGAATTGAACTTCTATTTGTTCCTCATATCTTTTCTTTATGGACGTTTATTTTCCCTTCCTTCATATATACTTTATTAGTGTCATATTACATTAGATCTCACTCAATCCTAATTTCGTACGATTGCGAGGTGCCGGCCGGGGTGTGTCGAGTGACAAACTTATTACTTTGTGTACGTACAGGGGTTCTCAATACCTCCGGTATTCAACCGTATGCAACCTTTAACACTCGGGCTGTGACCTCGTCCCGTTATAAATGTAGATTATTTTTGTACAGTCGGAGAGACCGCGCTTTCAAATTCAATTTATTTTTGTCACAAAGATCATTATAACGACGTTATCGTTAGACTTCCTTTCATCGCTTGTTCGTTTTGTGTTGATTTTTTTTTACGACCACATCTTTAAGAAAGAACGTTGCACCTCGTGACGTACCGCGGAGAGGAGATATTTCGAGATCCTCTTTTGGCAAAGGATACGTTGGGATTCACCGGGATGACCTTTAAATTGCTCAATCTGCATTGAGCGATCGAAGCAATCGAGTTTATGATGTGTTATTGTTGCCGATTGAGTTGCACTCCTTCTACGTTCTCGGTACTCTTGCCGAATTAAATGTGCCATCGTTCATTTATTTACTTATTTCGTTTGCTGGACCTTCGAGGACAACGGTCACGATCGTAGACGTAATTGAATTGAAAACGCTAAAAATTTCTAATTAATTTGCATAACAGGTTTTTCCGTATCTCGATTTCCAAAAATTAAGTAATAGATAAAGGCTTTGGATTAACCCTCACAGGTCACACTTACGCCACAGCGCATTGGGGTCACACTGGGTCTTTTTTACCCGAGCGATTTTGAAACGCTTGTAACTTCAAGTCTAAGCAAGCTTTTGGGACGTGTTTTTTTTTTAAATTCATTGCCAGATTCTCAGAAATACGACTGTTTAGTTTGTTTTGCTCTAAATTTTATCCTTTTTTTTTGTATTTTGAAAAATATGAAGACATTTTTTTTTAACTGATTTTTTTTCAAACTGTTGTTTCTCCTTTAAAAATTAAAAAAAAATAAACTTTATAGGTGGCTGGAGATATACGCATGTGTTGAGTTGGCGTCGGGTAAAATCGACCCAGTGTGACCTGTGAGGGTTAATTTCATATATCGGCTCCAAAATTTACTTAATTCACCGTGCATCTTTCACTCGTAAAAGAATCACGGAGCTCGGTTCACTCGCAAATAAGGGGAAAAAAACTTTCACGCCATGTACGTTAACGTGTCTTTTGCTAACGTGTCGCAAAGATCGACGCAGGGCTGTCGTTTAGTCGGAGCCAGTCAAGTCGCTAAATGCTCTCCGGTAATGGCCGAGTGTACGATGCGAGTTTTTGACCCCATCGAGAGGAATGCACAGCAGCCCGAGTGACAGTTTAATGGAGTATCGAGAGTGGCTCGAAACTTTATCGTAGGATTTGAACCATCAGGTACGGTCCCAGTGATTTCATTTGAATTTGTATTCCGCGCATAATCTTTCGCAGTTTTGTCAAAATTTTCGCGCGTCACTCTCGTACGTCTGCCTCAAATACGTGCCTGAAATAAACTTCAAATTTACTTTCGATCAATTAAGATGCTCCAAGATTATCCCGAGTAAAGCTCGAGCGTTCACAAAATCTTGATAAGTTTCGATCAATCTACGACAAGATACAGTTTTACCGAGAGTTTTACGGACAATGACGTGTTTACGAGTTAACGTTAGCTAAAACGTTGAAGCTATATCGTGTGGTAAAATCTACTCTAAGATGAGTGGGAGTAAGAAATCATTCTCCTCGTTTGGGCGGTAACACTGGGAATGACTCATCGTAACGTTACATTTTTCATATCTGGTTGATAAAACGTTCTTCATGAGACAGATTGCAACAAATTGATCTAATTTGTAAAATACGGGATGACATATATATTTTTTAAATGTTTCTTTTACGCAAATAATTAATGAAATTAACAGCTATTCTCTCTTTTTAATAATCATTTTCTTTTTCTTTCGACTCCGTATAATTTTACTCAGATATTTTGCTCGTGTTTCACTTGGTTATCGAATTACTGGCGATTTCCATATTTGTAATTAATACATGCGCAAGTTTTAAAAAAAATCCATCACCAGTTGAAGCTTATTGATAAATCATCTTACGTCATTTTCCATTCGCGTATATATATAAAAATTGCTTTACAACGCGATAAATAACTAACCGAAACGAGTTTCAGACAAAATTTGGAAACTCCTGCATTATGTATGAACTCGCACGTTTGATACACATACGCACATGTACACGAACGAAATCGTACTCGTGTGCGCCTGTACATACAATCGAGCGTTCATTGCTATTTTTAGCACAACTTTTTATTGTCGTTCGCGTCACCTTTCCGTTTCTTTCGTGTTTTTATCTATAACTCCTTTCTGCATCTTTACAGTAATCTCCGCAACGATCAAAAATTGGGAGGTTACGTTAATTCTGCGTTCGAGATTCAAACAATTTTTTTCTTTTTCAAGTTTCTCTCGTTTTGTGCCAATTAAAACTTTATTAAGATAAAAATTGCATTTCCAATATCGAATGTTGACTTGGTATCTTTTATATTATTTAAGAATATGCTCTCGCGATTTAATTTTATGAAACCCTTTTTTCCACTCGATTCGAGAAAACGACCATCGTTCACTCTCCTTCACAATGCCTCGTTCAGTTCACATAACGCGCTGGCGAGTCGGACGTCAGTAAACTGAATGAGATACAGACAGCGGAAGCGCGTGTCGCGCTTAATTTCGACGCATAAAATTTGGGACGAGGATCGAACATGAATGCGCGATTATCGTTCGGCGCCACTTGTTGCCGTCTCGATATTGAATCCGCAAGTGGCACGCGTCGTTTTCACCTTCGGGGCAGGGCGGGAACAAGAACGAGGACTCATGACGTACTCGGGAGTGCGTCAAAAGCGGGCCTTTTCAGCTGTTCGCTGCCCGCGGCGATCCATTGTGTTCGGTCGTAAGAATAGGGTATGCATCGCTGAAAAAAATTTCGCTTTCTCGGCCGGTGGTTTCTTAATGAATATACCTCGCCAAACAAATCGCGGACTGTCCTTAATCTTCGACGAAACGCTTTTCACTCTGATTTGCGATTTTGGCAGACTGCCGAGAGAACGAGATAAAACACGGTTCCTTTACAAGTTATTCCCGATAGTTGTTAGCCCGAGTTACTTCTTTCTGTCCCGGTTCTTTAAAATGTAATGAAAGAACCGGCGACGTAGCTCATTGTTAAACTTCCTCTGCGCTTTTTAGTCTCGCGAGATTTTCTGACAAGATCTTTATTGCTAGAATGGTTCTGCGTTTTTATTTATTTTGTATTTACATCAATGAGATATTTTTCATGTTATTCTGAGCTTTTTAACAATACAAGTACGAGATTATAAAATCAATTTGTAATATACTATAGATATAATATTTTTAACAATAGTTTTTTCCTTATATAAGTATCTATACAAAAGAGGATTCTTTATTTGTTTGGTTGATTTTAACAGTCGAGCGAGCGAAAAATGAAACGTATTGCCTTTACGTCGCTACGCAAAGACGTAAAGTGTAGATAAGTAGGGTCTTAAAGCGCAAAGGACTCTTTGTTGTCGCGAACCATGGTCGCCCGGCTGTGAATCGTCGCGTGTAATTAGACTTAACAATGTCTCTCCTTACGGGACGATATGCTGCATCATTTCTGCAAGGCACGGAGTGCACGGTATCGATGTCAAGGACACAGGACAAAACGCGAACCGAACCGCAGTCTCTACAGTCGTCGCGCGTTCTACTCGCTTTTTTTTGCCCCGCCGTGCAGAGATGTTTCCTTTTCAGGATTTAAAGTATGACATCACCCTCACCTCGATGTTTTTTTACATACTTGCGTTACCATGCGGTGTGAGAGCGCAACCGTTTTACATCTCTTACATAATGTTACTTCATTACTTGCGTACACTTGTACAACATTCACGACGACTTAAAACCGAAGGAAAGAAAAGGTATATCAATATTGTGCACTCTAATGTTTGCGATCGAGAAGCGGTAAAGCGCAGAGACACATATGTCATCGTCGAATCCATCTCAAGCGGCTCTCAACCGACTTATTTGTCAAGAGTCAAGCTGCACGATTACAAAATTTCCCGCTTATCTCATTTTTATACGAAATGCCGCGTACAATTCGTTCGCTTCGTGAACTCGGAGCGAATTATTACCTTGGAATTCCTTGAATTTTGTATGTACTCAGGGATATCTTCCGTAACATCGAAACTACGCCAAACAGTGTCGGCCGCTTTGCCTCGGAATTATCGTAATAAAACGAGAACGAATACGCTGCGACACTATCGAATCGCGCTTTATCTCGCGCATTGAAGCACGTTTGTCTGCACTACGGTCACGGTGGAGAGATAACCGAGTAATATGAGCTGCCAAATATAGTCCGTTGCAAATCGCCCGACGACCGACTCTCGGCACGATGAAATTTTGCATTTCTCCGTTTCTCCCCTTTCGCATCTCAGCGCGGACCTACGAGGAACTTTATGACGATAAAGAGAGATGCGATTCTAAGGAAATGAATCGTTCCATGTTGTTGATGCCTTAAGAATATTATAGAATATTATTATAGAAGAGACTCGACGAAAATTGACTCGGCTTTCCCACATTCGCTTTCGTAACCGCCGACAAATCTCTCGTCTCGTTTCCTGTGGCTTTTCTGTTAAACTGCCAAGAAGTTCAGCGACGTATTTGATACCCGATATATCTCGCGTACCCGAAAATACGCGTTCCGTATTTTCGACGGGGGCACGGGCACGTATTTCTCGGAGGGCCCGTTTCCGCCGACCACGTGGCGCCTCGCGGACGCAACTGTTGCAGTCTGCACGCGATGCGTTTCTGCGTGCTTGCGTGCGTGCAAAGGGAAATGTGCGCAGCCTCCCACGTAGCGCTAACAACAGTTTTAACGGATCGTGCACCCAAGTTCGACTAGTAAGGCCGTGGATCTTTCGCCCACGCCGCGGCCGTGTGGTCATAGTCGTATCGTATATACTATATACTATACGAGTTCGCATGACTCTCCTCGCGTGTCGCTACAAAGAGCCACTTTCATCGTACGTTTGCTTTGTGCGAAGACCAGCATGATATCTTGCCGAAAATGTTCATTTAAGGACATACAGAATGGCATTAATTTGGAAAATGTTTTCTGATTTTTATAGTTTAATAATAATGTATATAATGGGCTTCTTTTTCAAAAAGACTATTTTAAACGCAAATATTTGTAACGTTATGTAATTATCGCATATCGTTATTTTACTTAAAAGACAATTGGTGCAATTGATATCGAAAAGACGTGTGCCAAAATAGATTTTATTGAGATGTTTACGCTTCGCGGTGCAATGTAGCATAGAGATATACTTAATGTGGAAGTCACTTTGTGATACGTATAGATACGATCGTGAATGGATCGGAGGTGCGTGTAGCTTTATCGAGAGATTGAAGATAATGGCGCAGGAGAGCAAAACTAAAGAGGAGAGCAAAAACTCTCGGTGCTGAGCAATGATGTCACAGTCAGACGATAGCCCTGAGAGAACGTTTACCCCGTGGCTCGAAAATAGGTTTATACGCCTATGTATAGCACTTCGTTAAATGTATTAAACGCCGCACTGCATCGCAACACTTTTGCAGTTCGTGACGATGCGATAATACACAGGCTGCTTAATTGAAAAATAAATTTACGAAGGTTCACCTAGATATCCTCTTTAGGTGCGTAGTTATAAATGTTGTGTATATTATAGGATATTAAAATTGACACGTTAAAGATAGTATTATCGTTGGCGTTATTTAATGGTTTGCGTTACTTAATTATAACTTCTACCGTAATTACTATGCAGTCGCCTTTCGCGCGCGTTTAACAGGCACTAAACTGCGAGCGTTCGATTAGAAATTCGCTGGTTGGTTAATTGTGCATTCTCTTGATTAACAGAAACGGCATTCTGTTTGCGCGTGTCGTATTACTGAGGTCGTAATCACGAGTGCACTCGCGTCTGGCGAGACTCGCATAATAACGAGTGAGCGGAAACACACGATGCGATTCTCCATCTTCAAGAGGATGGGATTCGTCTGCCTCTGGATCGACTGGATCGATATATGTGTTGCATCACACGAGCTGGAGATGTCAATATTACGATCTCATATATCCATTTCTTACCAACACTTCTTACCATCAATTTTAATCTTGATTTAACTTGCTTTTCATCTTTTTCTAATTTTTTTAACTAGAAAGAGATAAAAAATAAGTTTAACCAAGATTAAAGTTAATGTACGTTAACAAAAATGGACGTTAGACCGCGTTAGACCTACTCCTCTCCGTTTATATAGGTCATAGGTGATCCGAAAAGAGATTCATTCTCGTTAGATGAATTACCAGGTATTTCACTCGAAGAAATAATCGATTCTTGCTAATATGTTCTTTTCTCTGTTTTATGCTAGTTCCTTTTTTTCTTCGAATTTCCATCCGAAAGAAATATGATAATACGTTTATTGACTCCCCTCAGGGTTGCAAGGCATTTTGTAGGGACGTTCCCAACCCTTTCTTCAATTCTCATCCAATACTACCCTTCTCCTCTCACTTAAACCTTTGGACCAACGGCTTAACGTCTCTTTCCGAAAGACGGAGCCCAGTTTGCTCCGCACAAGAGCCTATCTTGCACGGAGGGCGCAGCTTACGGAAAAACATTCCATATTTACATGGGTTTAGTGGACTCGAACCTAGTTCTTCAGATTACGTTACGAGTCTGGCGCTCTACCATTAGACCAAACCGCCGCCCTCCATCCGAAAGAAATATTAAATGATATAAAATAAAGATTGTTGATAATAATACAATAATACAAAATAAAATATATTTAGAAACGACTTTTTGAATGACATAATCGCGTTTCTGAAACGCGAAGAATGCGAAAGTCGATTGCGTCAAGGCAATTTCTATTATTAGTCGGCATTTTCGCCGTAGTTGGTAGTGTTAATTAATATACCGTAATGGTGTCCCGTATAAACACTTTCTGTACTCGCTAAATTAACCGGTAGACCTCGATCGCCTTGATGCGCCGCGCCGGCCGGTACGCGCGAAAGCGACGCGGACGGCGCGGCGCGATTCCACCGAAGGAGGACAATCATTGCCACCGCGACTATAATCGGCCGATATGTACCATAAATTCAAACGACGCACGTGTTCTTCTTTTACAGGTTGTCCAGAATGGTTTAGAGATCCTCACATATCTCGCGGATCGGATGGGTCACGACTTCAAGCCTTACATCTCCACCATCATCCAGCCGACGATAGACAGGCTAGGTGAGTACGGGGCGTATTTGTTCTACCCGATTGTCTCGTAAATCATTTTCGAGGAGGAATCGGCCGGCACGATACGCGATATCAAAAATTTTTATTATTATTTACGACGATCGATAATTCCACGAACGGTCCGTAGCCGATAATTGGCACCGATAGAATACCCGTGTGTATTCCAGCTCTTGCAAAATTCTCTGTTCGCGATATAAAGATAACCGCGGATAATTTTAATATCGAAAGCTATACCCCTCTTCCTGTATCTCGAAAGTGAGCTGCGCGAACATTTCGTCGAATATTGGATGAATCATATACTTAAATCGCTAAATGAGTTTCAAATAGAACGAACCGAAGTGACGTTTAAACGCCTCTAATGAGGTTGAAGTCTATGACAGATGTGTACACCATATTTGTCGAGAACCGGTCCGCCGCGCCGATCGCTTTCAGCTGTCCCACGAAGCCGACGTTGAGAATAAACGTCACGCATCACGCACGCGAACCGACGATATTCGTGAATGCTGCGTCGCCCCCAATTTTCACGTGTGTGCGAATCGACGATTAAATTCACATTTGTTACAGGTGACAGTAAAGATGCTACCAGGGAGAAAGCGCAACTGGTGCTCCTGAAAATTATGGAGAAGGGATGCATGTCGCCTCAGAATCTTTTGGATAGACTTCGTCCAGCTTTTAATCACAAGAATGCAAAATTACGGGAGGAAGTTCTAATCCTGTTAACGACAACGCTGAACGAGTGAGTGGCAATTCTACGTTTATTTGAAATAAATTATATTTATAAAAAATGATGGATTTTTTTCGAATGGAACGTTTGAATTTTTTCAGACATGGAGCAGACGAGATGGCACTGTCGGGGGTGATCCCGAGTATCGTAAAGCTGCTGTCTGATCCATCGGAAAAGGTTCGGGAAACTGCTCTGAACACGCTGGCGGACATCTATCGACACGTAGGCGATAGATTACGCGTCGATTTGCAAAGAAAGCACAATGTGCCGCAAGCCAAGTAAGTGAAATGGCCGGAGAAAGCGATTGTCTTTCGGCTTTCGGTCTGCATAGAATTTTATGGCGTATCTCCTAATCGTGATTCAGTCGTTCGAGAAACTTTTTCTTCTTCTCGTTAAATATCAACTGATCGGTGCGATGCGTTAACGAAACCATAAAATTCTCGATCGCAACGTTATGTAAACGGCTCGTTTCTTCTGCTTACAGAATGCTTCTGCTAATAGATAAGTTCGATCAACTGAAGGCCGCTGGTGATCTTTTACCCTTGGCAATGTCGTCCGATGGTGAGTAGACTGATTGAATTCTCTGACGCTGCGGGGTATCGTTTAATTTAAGTTCAACGACGACGACGACGACGACGACGATGACGAAAAAGTAAGGCGCGCGTATACCACGCGGCGCATATCGTTATTCAACGTGCGCACGAGGCGTGTATCGTGCTGCCATCGCGCAGCCGTGGAGTTTATCACGCGGCGATCCTGCCTTCGCATGCAGGAAGACTCCTCCACCTGTCTGCTCGCCCCGCCTCGTCCTCCTCGCAGCTTAGCGTTACACGCACATATCATGAATATTTACCGAAGACCGCGTGTTCCTCGATGTGACGAGAATACACGCCGCACCGCTTCCACAGTACCGTGTACCTCGTCGCTGACTTCGATTTAATGACACGTCGATATCTCAGCTCGATCGAAATTTTTACCTCTACACTTCCGGCGAAGGAAATGAATGACGTTGATGACAACAAAGTAACGTTCCGAGTTCACGCGTGAGAGAGGAAAGTCATTCGCGCCATTCCATCGCGTAAAGTTTCGTTTTCTTGAACGAACGATACAACGAGGTCGCTGATTCGCGTTATCTGTCCACCGTGCCGGGAAGATTACATAATATTGCGTACAGAGTGATAGAACCGCGTGCGATACATCGTATCGGTATATTGTTTCAAGCGCCGCGCCTGTAATCCATACCGAAGCTAAGGCTGTCCCGCTTCGAAACGGACGGCCTTGTAACGTCGCGTCTCGGCTCGTCGGCCGTTCGAATTTCGGTCGCGAATATTACGTGTCGCGCCGGCAACCGCACACTTGGCACCTTCGCGTCTCGACAACGGAGATTATTTCCTATCAATCGAGACGATACGAGAGCAAAAGTTCGTCCGGCGAGAATCGCCACCGCCGCCGCCGTAGCATTCCGCTTGCGTAATCGATCGCAACACAAAATGTTGCGGTTGCTCGAGAAGGGACTTCCTCGTGTATGCGCGCGATTGCAACAGTCCGCAAATATCATCTTCGCGCCTGCATCATCTTCATCTCCTCCAAGGTTTATTGGAGTTCCGCGACATTTCTCGTTCTCGAGCATCGTGCGATTATTAGTTTCTATCATTAATAACCGCGTTATTCGTGGTAGTTCCGTGAAAGGCCAGGCAGTTCTCATCGTTCGACAAGATTGTTTATCATCTAATATAAATTACTCTTACGAATCAAAGTAATTAAACATTCCGCTGTTGTCGCGACATAAATGTCGATAGAAAAGTTTACTAAATAATTACTGGCAATTAACGCGAGGCTATTTATCATCCTGGTGAAAGTAGCATTTAGAATCGATGGCACATATTGATGTGGCGTGTTTAAGAATTCTATACTTTCGTTATTCAATGAATTTTAAGTAGATTCTACGAAATTTTTTCAACTCACGCTTCTCTCTCTCTCTCTCTCTCTCTCTCTCTCTTTCTCTCTCTTTCTCTCTCTTTCTCTCTCTTTCTCGAAGATCAAAGATGCGCAACTGTTTTCCTTGCTACACCCTGCGCATATACGATCACGATTAGATCATACCTGGGCTTGGCGAGGAGAAGCCACGGCGCTTCGCTTGATTTCAGAGATATTAATAGAACTCAAAATAGCCGTGAAGCGCTAATGACGATCTTCCGCGAAGCGCCGTCCATTCCTTTCATGGACATTCGAACTTCCGGTCATGGCGAAGTCCGAAGGGATCAATCTCAGGCGTTATTAGAGCGACTCGCGGCGCGTTCTATACACTGATTACGCATCTATGAATATTTCAGCCTCCTGAACAAGTTGCGCTCTATAGCAGCGTTACAGAATCCTAGCGTTTCCATCGAATACCACGCACATCTAACATGCCTCGTATGTTAACTTGAAAACGTATAATTTAATCGAAATTATGCCGCGCGAAGAAAATTCAATTTACTCTCGCGATTAGAATAATTCTGAAGAACTAATCTCCGATCGGCCGTGTTATACATCGATCGGTGTCTGTCTTATTCATTCATGCATAAACGCGAACGACGTTTGCCTAACGCTTTGCGTACATTCAATTTTCTACTTTTTTATGATTTACACATACTTCATCGTGACGTAATCACTCTCGTGACACCCGTCCGCCGTGTTTTGACGACCAGATTCCCGTTTGTCGAATACCAATGAGAACCGCGGGACGAAATATATATTTTTTTAAATCCACCACAGTAGAATTTCTGCGGCGAATACACCGATTAGAATCGTCATCGCGACGGTATCCTCGAAGTTATGCGACGCGGAAAGGTTGCGCGCGTCCGGCGAGCGAACAAAAATTTGCATAAGTCTCGTTTTCGCTCTCTCTTTCCCCGTGACCCCGTGCAGCGCGATTGTGTTAGAAGTTCGCGTTAAGACAGGATTACACCACGCGATCTCTCCGAAACGCGTCAAACGTTTCTCTCGAATCGTTTCTCTCGTAACTTAAAATAGAAATGATGTAAATAAAATCGATAAAAGTCGCGCGACGATAAAAAAAGTGTTTATCATTAAAAAAAAAAAAATATATATATATATATTTTGTAAATCAAACTGACAATTTTTTTACTTGTATACTTATGTACATATTTACAAACCTCAGGTATAGATATAAAAATTGCTAAGATCGATCTTCAAATGGAGCAAAACCTCGAAGATTTAAATTTAAATTAAATCTTAACATAGATTTAAATTTTAAATTATTGTTTCTTAGACTCCGCAGTAGCTTTAATTAAAGCGTGTCAATCCTCGCGAGGACAATTCGCTTCCGACGTTCCCGCGGCTTGTCACGCGATAGGAAACTACCCCGTTACGCGTCGTGAATTTCGCATCGCCACCCGCGCCTGCTTTTAATCTCGCGCCTTATTATGCGACCTTACCCCGAGGGCAGCGAGATGCAATGCACACGTGCGCAAGTGAAAGGTAGGGTAACACGCAGATTTATCTCCGCAGAGCAGCGCACGGTTCCACGTTGCGCCGCACCGGTGTGCGCACGATCAGATATGAAAATACAGAATAATGCCCAGCTGCTGCCCTTTCATTGCGCGTTCTTTGACCGTTGCCCCGTTACCCTTTGCGTAACTAGGCAACGAAACGAGCTGTCCGAATTTCTCACAGAAAAGTCGATTGGAGAGATAATTAATTCTGTTTAAATTTTTACCTTTAGCGTTAATAATCGGCGTTAATGACATCAATTCATGTTTTTATATTACGATTTTCTTGTGACGAGTAAGACGTCATTAAAAGTACGATGAGAGGTTCGTCAGACAATCAAGCGATCGGGAATCGGAATACTTGGAGAATCTCTGTGTCATGGTTCTTCCCTTTCAAATAAAAAAGGGATAAATTGCTCTATAATGCATGGTACAGTAATTGTTTGTCTAACCCGTGACATACGGCATCGCGCACGATAAGCGTTCATGTGCGATTATGCGCAATGTATATGCGCTATTATGTAACGGCGGAGGTATTATCGCCTGCCTTCTGGGTGCAGAGGCCGTGTGGGCGATTCTTCTTAGCGTCGTCTCTCTAACGGCAATACCTCGTACGCGGGAATCAACGCTCACATTTTCCGATGCCGATGATCTCATAGCGCGTGACGCCACTCAGAAAATCTATAATCGACCGTGACTTTTCTCTTATTCTTCCTCCCGGAACTATGTGCCCTGTTTTGCCCGAGGTTCTTACCTTATCGTAATGAAGTCTGTTAGTTGGCAGTCTCTTATTCATGAGTATAGTGCGTCTTTAAAACAAGCCGCGTAAATTATTCCACGCTAGATTTCGAACTGTGCTTTTCGTTCATCATATTTGAAGCGCTTGTACTCACTTTAACACGATATTAAAATTTGCAGCGGATTTAACTCGCGAACGAGGCAAATAAATTGGTTTGTATTAAGATTGCATCGATCAAGGATAGGATCTTAATTTGATGATAATCTCTTTAAGTATCTTTTATGTCTTATGAGATAAAAGTCGGAAAAAGGAGCAAAACGGAAATCGACGAAGGTCTACCGAGAATTCTCCACCAAATCCGTCTTTATTTATCAGCCTGCAATAATTTTTCAAACCGCCGTTTTTCACGTACGATCAATGCTGTCAATTTCCTGCGTATTTTCGAGGCATCATTATTTCCTCGCTTGGCGAAGGTCGCTCGGACTGTTCGGAGAGTACCTAGTTTAGCAGCCAATTATACGTCTCATTCGTTTTGCGACGCGAAACACAAAAAACGGAATTCAAGCGTCGACTTATTTTCGTCGATAATAGTGTCCGTAATGATCCTTGTCTTGCGAGTGGCCGCGACGTGCGATTGCTCATCATAAGTTGGCCTTCGACTTGCTACTATGGTTTTCGACGGATCCCGCAACTTCAATTGCCATTTTTCCTTATGTGTACTTGGAAATACACAGAAATATTATTAGGCTTAGTAGCCTAGCTTTTAGCTAGTAGAACACAGTAGTTCTATAGCTTGGACCGTAAATGGCGTTCTCTTCTAAATTGATTTATATACCATGACGGTCGTGTTTCTCTTAATATTCTAATCCCTATCTTTTCATTCAGGATTTCTTTGCAGTCGCGCGAAGAGATGAAGTCTTAAAATTATTTAAATATCTTTTGAGACAGGAAACGTCCAACTTCTTACAAAGAGAACGACTTGACGATCTTATTCCATTTTCTAAAGAACGGGGACGTTTGTTCCCCGATGTTCTACGATTAATTTTCATATCGCAAATCACATCTCTCTCACGTCTCGAACATCGCAAACTCGCAGGCGCACACGGACGCCAATTAGCGCAACGAATTAAGTTACTAACTCGCTTTCACCAAGGACACCCGAACGGTCAGGAAACGCGCGCTAGAACCGTTCGCCGGAAGCCGTGTATTTTCTGACTCTTTTCCCGTTCTTCCGCAACACTCCGTTCCGTAACGCATATCCGTGCTGAATTTCTAAGGAGGCGGACACGGCACACGGCATCGACAGCGAGCTTCGCGAAAGAACAGAA